GGGGGGGGGGGGGGGGAAAGGAGCAGAAGGACAAAAGAACAGACGAGGGGGATAGGAGAAAATCGCAGAGTACGTCGAGTAGGTGAGAGAGAGAGAATCACTGCTGGGGATTTGATGCCTCACCTGCTTCGTTACTCTTGTGAAGAAGAACTGAAGATCGTCCGCCGTAGCCATCAAGTCCACTCTCCCTCCCTCCCTCCCTCCCTCCCTTCCTTCCTCCCTCGCGCCCTTCCCCCCCTTTCTTCCCCCTTTCCCTCTACCTTCCCCCTCCTTCTCCCTTCACCCTCCCCGCAAGAAGAGACCGCCAACGCTGCACAAATTGCAGACAGCTCTTCGAGATGCCTAAGTGCCTATAGATTGGCCTTGGTATAATGGCAACGATGATGATAATTGTTGTTTGATTGTCCCTGACGCTAAGCACAGAGGGAGGAGGATATGGCAATAGAATGGGGATGCTGAGGCAGATGGACTTGCAGCAACAGACGATCCTTCGTTTTCCAGTCTCATAATTCCGTCTATGTTTTGTGAGAGAGACGAAAGTCAGTCGGGATCTCCTTCAGCCAGATGCATTGGAAGAGGCAACAGCCTGCTTCAGTGAATTTCCCATCGGAGATCAGGTGCAGAGTATGTCTTCACCGCAGCGACATTCTCTGATTTCAAGCGAGATTAAGCCCAAGCGACGAAAGGGGCAATCCTGCGCACCAAATTATACTGACAACGTCCCCTGCGATTCCCTCCCCTCTCCCACCACCCTCACGATCACTTCTTTATCTTACCTCTTCCTCTTCTTTCTGTTCCTCTCCTTCCTCCTCCCTTCTCCGCTTTTTCCTTTCTTCTTCTTCTTCGCCTTCTACATAACAGGTTTTCCCTCCTTGTAACCCCCATACCCTCGAAGAGCCACTACTCTCCTCCGGATCGAGCGACAACAGCCCACGTCCTCCCGCCACCCACCCATCGAGCCGCCGACTCTCCTCTCCCTTTCCCTCCACGCTTGCTCTTCTCTCCCTCCTCTCCCGCCCACTTGCCAATCAGCCACTGTCAGTCAGATCGAATCGGACACCGCTGCTTCTCGTCAATCGATCGTCCTATGGGAAGATATCATTCGCTTGTCCACGCACAGAGCACGCCCCGTCCACCCTCCGCTCTCCCATTCCATACCATACATCAACTGCTATGAGCGTGTATTCCCCGGTCTTGCCACTGGATCGAGAATGTCCCGCTTTAGCGTTCTACCACGGATCTTCCACAAGCATGACGTTATCCTGCTCAGGAGGAGGACGATGTGTGAGTCAATGCCCGTACGCTATGAGCATTCCCAATGGGAGGAGGGCGGGGGAGCGGGGGAGGTGATTTGCTACGCCAGCGAAAGTCCCAGCCTGAAGCCCAGAGAGTGAATGAGACCCCACCACCCGAGCCCCGACTCCGGCGAGCCCCACACGCGGGCCCTGGCGGAGTGCAGCCCTGCCCGTGTCCGTGTACCCCCCCCTGCCCCAGCCAACCACAGCCGCCCACCTGGGCCAGCCTTTTCCATCCCCACCCCTACCCGGGCCACAAACGCATCCCGCCCGTGCAAACAAGCGAGAGCCTGCTAGTGATTTTAATTTTCCACCGAGTTGTAGCAAAGGCGTGGAGCGCTATGAGCAATCACACTGGCCGATGCCTCGTATCTCCCCTACACAGTGCCGAGCAGCAGCAGCGGGAGTAGGCGGACGAGCAGCAGGAGCAGGTGCAACAGGCGGGAGATTCTTGCACCGTCGCACGCTGTCTTTTCCTCGCTCTCTTTTTCTCCCTCTCTGTGTGCCTCTGGCTTTCGGCGCTACGTAGTAGCTCGGTCTCGTCGTCATCAAACAAGAGAGGTACTGAACCGCCTCCCAAGACAGTCCACCCGACTACCATCTTCTTTCCTAACCGCTAATGCCACAACCCCAACTGCCAGTGTTACTGTAAGTCCGTGCGCCCCTGCTGCTGCTGCTGCTGCTGCTGCTGCAGATGCAGATGCAGATGCAGCTGGAGCTGCAGCTGCTTCCGGACGGAATGCCGCACAGTACGGCTGGGACAACCAGCTTCGGGCCCCGCTGGGCCCACTGTGCGACGAGCGACGGGCAACCGCAAGCGGTGCGGGAGCGCGTGCATCGCTCACTCGCTGTGTCTGCGTTCTAGCTACTGCGGCTGCCACTCTGCCCACCTACCCTGCTCTCGACCTCTACCCTGTTCTCCACCTCTCTACCGCTAACTGTTCTGTATCTGTGTTTCTCTCGCTCCCGTTCCCTCCTCCCGTGTCACGCCCGCCTCTCCCTTTCCCCCACTAAGTTAAATTCGCTGCAATGAACTGCAATGCACTGCAGCGGTGGCTGAATGAGTGAGATGGGCGAACGGTGACAGCGCATCCACTGCTGCGATCCACATTCCCACGCCCTGGTCGGCACATTCAAAGGCCACGCGCTCGTTTCCTTGCGCGCTTCCAATTTCCAATTTGTGTCGACTGTGCGTGCCCCCCTCCTCCTTTCTCTCGCTCTTCCCGTCTGCGCCTCTGTCGCTCTGTCTCTTCTGGGATCGCCGAGTTTCGGACGCAACCCGCCCCGCTCTTTGGACCATTGCGGCCCCTCGGCAGGCGGTGGCCAGGCGGGCCGGGGGACCACTACCCTTCCGTTTTTTTTCTGCGAATAGCATACACAACCTCCAAAACGGCGAGCGGGCACGAAGAATCAGCAGAGAGCGTTCAAGGGAAGCATAAACTGCAAGGGCACCACAAGCACCAAGGGCGGCAGGACTCAACCTCAACACGTCGGTGATGGCTCCTCCTCGGCCTCGGTTCTCGACATTAGTTTTTTTTTTTTTTTTTTTTTTTTTTTGTTTTTTTTTTTTTCATTTTTTTTTTTTTTTTTTTAAACACATCCCTCCTGCCAGCGCTAGTGGTGCTGATACGAGCAGTCACCACTAGCACTCAGGTGGAGGCTCCATCTATTGGTGGGGAGCATCACCTGCTGGAAACCGGGTCCAGCGTCGCGACGACCCAACATACGAACAGAAGCATTCTGTTATGACAAAGATTCGGTTTTCCACTTTTTTTTTTTTTTTTTCCTTGAATAAAACAGGTCATTATGCCCCTGGCTCCATATCCATTGTGGGGAGCACCAGTCCGGTTCCTATTCCACCCGGAAGTCGATGAAGATCTATGAACCATACATTCACTCACGCATCCTCCCATACGGCCAAAGGATCCCTGAACGTCATTGATTACTCCAGTTACTGGAGGGTTGTTTGTCAGCTTGCCTTTCTGTGTGCTTCCTCTCAGGTTCTACACCGTGGAACACGCAGGATAAATGCGATTTGGAAGAGAAACAGAAAGTGGGCCCTGAGTGTAGGTAGGTAGGTAGGTAGGAAGTGGGAGATATAATAACAATAAAAAGGTGCCTTCGGACTTTATTCTCACAGCAAAAAGTACACCTTTACCGCCGGGAAAACACACCAGCGCTCGAACCTTCTGTCCTTGCTGCTCAGCTCGAGAGGAGAAAGACTCCTGAATGTAGATACTATCAGAGGTGGCAACTGGGATTTTTTGGAATACCTGTACCTTACCTACCCATACCCTCTTTGAAAACTAACCACCCATACCCACTGTATAGATGGCCTACCAGACCTTTACCCATCCTTACCTGCTCAAAAAAGAAAAAAGTGTACCCGTACCTGCCCTACCTGAACCCTTCAGACTGTAACTGCCCATAACTGCCCATAGACTTTCTGTTTTAAAACTACCCATGGCCACCTACACCCAAACCTTTTGTTAACCACCTGTACTGTACCCAACCAATTTTTTTTTCAATCCTACCCACCCGTACCCACCCACAATTGTATGCACCCACCCATAACCATCCACACTTGTGACCCACCCTCCCCTAACCAACCCTAACTGTCCCCAACCCCCCCTAACTGCCACTAAATGTCCCCAACTGCCCCTAACCGCCACCCCTATCGGCCCCTAACCATCTGCATTTGTGACCCACCCTCCCCTAGCCACCCCTAACTGTCCCCAACCGGCCCTAACCGCCC